TAGGGCTCTTTCTTCAGCTCCCTTCTTTGTCCTTTTCTTCCCTTCCCACCCGTGATGGCTAATTTCGTGTGTTATCTTAGCCAAACCACAGTGCCCGGATACTTGAGCAAACATAATGCTGGAAGTTTCTGAGAAGGTATTTGTTAGATGAGATTAACGTTTAAGTCAGCAGACTTGGAGTAAAGCGTCTTATGTTCATAATGAGGTGGGCCTCACCCTTCATAGGAGGCCTTAATAGAAGAAGGGTTGACCACCATCAAAGAAGGAGTTCTGCCAGCAGAATGCCTTTGGACTCTGGCTGTATCACCGACTCTTCCCTGGGTCTCCAGCCTGCCAGCCTACCTTGCAGGTTATAGACTTGCCAGGCTTCAAAATCACATGTGCCAATTTCTTAAAATCAATCTATCTATCTGATATACGTAGATATACAAATACCTAAAGGCATCCATTTGTATGTATTGGTGGATAATCCATATATATGTCTACACGTGTGTGTGCATGCATATGTATGAATCCTACTGGTCCTTTTCCTCTGCACCACCTTGACTAACATACCACCATGTATCAGAGTGGATTGCAAACTCAGAATCTCTGAAGGCGTTTTGTTCAGAATACAGAAAACACAGTTAGACTCTTCCTCACAATCTGGCTTCAATAAGTCTGGAACTGGGCCTGGGAGTTTGTATTTTCACAGGCTGCTCAGATGATTCTAATGCATGTGGAGAAAGATTCACACTGAGAAACACTGGTTTGTATACTCCTCATCAATTCCCCTGTCATCATCTATTGTTTATCTATTACTTACTAAACTATTATCTACAAGATGATTACTCCTGAATCAATATCTCCAGGCCAGAACTCCCTTGCCTTCCAGATCCTTATAACTGTCTGCTAAACATTTCACCTGCTTATTCCTTGGGCAACGGATCTCACTACTTCCCCTCTAACATCTTCCATTCTCATTTTATTTTATTTTATTTTATTTTATTTTATTTTATTTTATTTTATTATTTTTTAGTGTTTATTTATTATTGAGAGACAAAGGGAGACAGAGCATGAACATGGGAGGGGCAGAGAGAGGGGGAGACACAGAATCTGAAGCAGGCTCCAGGCTCCAAGCTGTCAGCACAGAGCCCAATGCGAGGCTCGAACTCACAAACCGCGAGATCATGACTTGAGCCGAAGTCGGACGCTTAACCGACTGACTGAGCCACCCAGGTGCCCCACCAGTTCTCATTTTAGTGACTGATACCTACATCCATCCACTCACTCAAAGGAGAAAGCTGGGAACCTTACCGAACTTGAACTCGTTTCTCCCGCTTGTCCACCTTCTTACTACCTTCATATCTTCTCTACCTGTCCACCCCACTGCCAGCTCCAAGATCTGAACCACCCCACCCTCTGGAATAGTTGCAATTAACTCCGCCTCTTGTCTTTTGCCCTCTACTCTCCCAATCCAATTCCCACTGCTTCGCCAGATCCATTTTCTAAAATGCCAATCTGATCATTCTTAATCCCTTTAATTGCGCCTACTTCTCACAGGACAGAGTCTTAATTCACAGGATGATACAGAAACGCTCTGTGCCTAGCCCTGCTCTACATCAACACACTACCTCCCTTCCCAGATAGGCTGTAGCTATACCCAGGTATCTGTAGCTACTTAGGCCCATCAGGCTATTTTTTGCGTATTTAGTATACTGTTAAACTAATCTATCCCCCAGAATGTGTTCTCTGCCATCCTCACCCAGAATATCCAGCCAGTGATCACTCAAGGTTACTCAATCACTTTGCGATTTTCCCAGGTAAAATACATTTTCCCCAGTCTTGCTCTTACTTTGATCATGGCACCTGAAATATTTTTTTGCATTTATTTATTTACATGTGCAGCATGTAAATAAATGGCAAATAATTTTCTACTAGATTGGGAATTAATTTTTCACTTTTATATTTTGGGTATCTAGCATGGAACCCAGCATATGTATGCTTGTGCCTGTTGAATAAATGAATGCATTAATCATGGTGGAAAGAACATTGTTCTAAATAGCGTCTGAAGATCTGTTGTATGACATAGTGACTACAGTTGATAGCACTGTATTGTATAATTGAAATTTGCTAAGGGGAGCCTGAGTGGCTCATTCAGTTGGGCGTCCAACTTCAGCTCAGGTCATGATCTCGCGGCCCATGAGTTCCAGCCCCGCGTTGGGCTCTGTGCTGACAGCTCAGAGCCTGGAGCCTGTTTCAGATTCTGTGTCTCCCTCTCTCTCTGAACTCCCCCCATTCATGCTCTGTCTCACTCTCTCTCAAAAATGAATAAACGTTAAAAAAAATTTTTTTAAAATTTGCTAAGAGACTAGGAATTAAATGTTCTCTCATACAAGCATATATCCGTATATATATGTATTCATATAGACATGGTGATATGTTAATTAACTAGATGGGCAGAATCCTTTCACAATGGATACTGTATCAAATCATCATGATGGTATACTTTAAATATCTTACAATTTTATTTGTCAATTATGCCTCAATAAAGCTGGAGGAAAAAAAAAAGAACACTGTTCTAGAAGTTCAGTTATGAGTCTCCTCCTGGCTCAACCACTCACTGTTAATTTACCTTGGACAAGTCACTAACCAGTGGTGTCGAATATAGATTGCAAAAGAAGGATTAGGGAAACTGTGACTTCTTTTAAAGTTTATATTCCACCTAGTTCCAAAGCACATAATGATTGATTGATTATGGGGGGAAAAAAGAAAGAAAAGAAAGAAAGAAAGAAAGAGAAAAAGAAAAAAGTAAAATGGTGAAATAAAGCTAAGGGTGAAGTTGTCATTCAAAAATAGGCAGTGGAGGGGGTTGCCTGGGTGATGGTTGGGTGTCCCACTTCAGCTCAGGTCATGATCTCATGGTTTGTGGGTTCGAGTGCCATGTTGGGCTTTGCACTGACAGTGCAGAGCCTGCTTGGATTCTCTGTCTTCCTCTCTCTCTGCCCCTCCCCTGCTCATGCTCTCTCTTTCTCTCTCTCTCAAAAATAAACATTTTTTAAAAAACTAAATTAAAAAAAAAGCAGTGTAGGGGCACCTGGGTGGCTCAGTCAGTTAAACGTCTAATTCTTGATCTCATCTCAGGTATTGATCTTAGGGTTGTGAGTTTAAGCCCCACATTAGGCTCCAGGCTGGGTGTGGAGCCTAAATTTAAAAAATAGGCAATGTAAAACAAAACAAAACAAAACAAAACAAAACAAAACAAAACAAAACTAGGTAATGCAGTACAGGTCCATAATAGAAATGGATAGAAAATTTGGTTCTGATTCATGGCAAACAAAATAAAGAGGAGAGCACTCTCAGGAGACTGATAGGGTTAATAAGATAAAAATGAAGAACTTACTTTGAAGGAACATAATTTTTCCTGGCATTGAAGCCTGAGAGAAAAATCTCTCCCTCATCCCCAGCATACAGTATTACTATCTGATTTAATGGCTGTCTTAGCTTGGGTTTCTTGGAGGTGGAATCCAAGATGGCGTTTCCTGCACGAATCATTTAGGGAGGGAGAGTTCTCAGGAAAAAGCTGGAAGGAGGTGAGGGAAGCAGAGGAAGAATCCTGGCAAAGATGCGGTTTCAACTGAAGACAGCCTGGTCTCATAAGGGGCTCTGTAGCCTTAGAGGCATCACGGGTTGTCCGCCTGGCTTTTGTAGCTTTACATTAGTCAGTCACGGGCTATGGTCTGCCACTGGAGTGGAGCGCAGTCTGCCATCCCCCAGACAGTTCTAACCTGCTGGTTGAGAACGCTTTTCTGGAGAAGGGTTTTGACAAGCACAGCAGCTGGGGATGGAATGCATTGGCCGACGCACTAGCCTGGTGAAGGGCTCTGGGTGTGGTGGCAACAGTGTCTCTTGTAACATCCCTAGTAAACACAGAGGGACAATCTGAGTAACTTTCTTTTTTTTTTTTTAATTTTTTTTCAACGTTTATTTATTTTTGGGACAGAGAGAGACAGAGCATGAACGGGGGAGGGGCAGAGAGAGAGGGAGACACAGAATCGGAAACAGGCTCCAGGCTCTGAGCCATCAGCCCAGAGCCCGACGCGGGGCTCGAACTCACGGACCGCGAGATCGTGACCTGGCTGAAGTCGGACGCTTAACCGACTGCGCCACCCAGGCGCCCCCTGAATAACTTTCTTAAAGGCTCTCTTTTGGCAAGGTAGTGGCAGGGGACAAGCAGAATTCAGTAAAAGCGATTCTATTAAGTGCCAAGACCGTATGACAACATATACATCTCAGTGGGGACCGATTGTAGCTCAGAGACATGTTTTGGACAATCTAAGAAATGGATGGACTGCTTAGTTTTTCTCTTTTAATGTTTGTTTATTTTTGAGAGACAGAGAGAGACAGAGTGTGAGTGGGGGAGGACCAGAGAGAGAGGGAGACACAGAATCGGAAGCAGGCTCCAGGCTCCGAGCTGTCAGCACAGAGCACGACGTGAGGCTCGAACCCACGAGCCATGAGATCATGACCTGAACCGAAGTTAGATGCTTAACCTACTGAGCCACCCAGGTGCCCCAGGACTGCTTAGTCTTTAGATAAGCTTCCTTGAACGTGAAATCTTAAATTTAAGCTCTTCATATGAAGTAAGCTTCAGAGAGTTCTGAAGAGTTCTCCAGAATTTCAATTACACATATTTAACAATGCAGACTAGAATCAATCCACAGGCTTTGAAAAGAAAGACAAATATTTTATTTATTCATCACTTCTACACCATCTACTTTGTGCCAGGCACTAGTCTAAGTGCTGTACAAATATTAATTCATTCAATTATTGTAACAAGTCTGTGGTGGATTTTATTACTATTCCTATTTTATAAATGAGGAAATTGAGGCACAGAGTTTAATCGCTCAAAGCACACAGTTAATAAATGGTTTAGGCCATTTACTATGTAAGGTAAAATCTAATTATGACTGTTAAGATGCTTAATTAGGAGTAAAATCAATTAAACTTTGCATTTCCAGATCAATTTCAAACTGATCCATCATGACTATGTCGACGCACTCAGAGACCTCAAGGAATACGGAAGCCATCGTCTGCGACCAATGGAACCGTGTCACCTGGTTAACACGGTTTGTTCATCTTTGTGATTTTAACAATTTTTGCCTTTAAAGTTACAGCCAACTCTCAATTACGTGAGTAATGGGAGGTCATAGATAAACTCAAATTGTAATTAGAACAAATTTAGAGGAAATCTTTTTTAAGTCCCAGAGCCATGTGACAGTCTAACGAAAGTTCTAGATTTCCTCCCCGCCAAAATGCACATAAAGACATAAAATTTTTTTCCATGTAGTTTCAGGGAGTTCATAGATTCCTTTACACCTCTGGGATTTTAGAAAGAATTTTTAAAAATTGAACAATTAGCCATTTTGGTGATGTCAGAGCCTTCTGAGACAAGCCAGAACAGTGACATTCCCCTTCATAGTGGCCCCAGGAAAACTTGCATGTGTGTATGGTGGACTTGATATTTATTGAACTCGTGGGACTCTCTGGGATCATATGACTCAGTTGGTCCTCTGAGTTTCATTCCCAGGGAGAACAGTTAATTATATATCTGCCTATACATCCTTACTATATTTTAAGTCTTTTGGTGGCAGGGACGAAGCTTGCTTATCTTTATAGAATCCATAGGAGCTTATCAACACCTCACAGAGCGAGGGATTAGAATGAAAACATGACATTTCAATGCAGAAGTTTTGAAATGGGGGAACATCTGGATGCATCAAAATGTGAATATGACTTTTTTTTTCTTTTTTAACAAGTAACATTTGGAGCAAATATCACTGACTTTCACGCTCTCATCCCATTCCTGAGCCTTGTAACATCCTCCAGGGATTGGATACCTGTTGTGCACAATTCTTGGCAAATAAAGACACTCTGAAAGTTAAATACTTGATATCTACCAAAACAACTGCATCAAAATGACAGAAAAATGTGTATTCTTCTCTGTACATTGAATTGACTTATCGACTTTAGGCATGATAGGGTTCTATTTATTTAGATGTTCCGGTTTCCATAATTGCCTACCTGAACTCAGGTAGACTTGGTATGAGGTACTAATTTGAGAATGTCCCACTAGAGACCTGGTAGAGACCACTCTAGCAGTCAAGAAATAGTTAAATAACAAAGCTCTGGCAGTTAGTTAAGTCCCCGTTGTAACTGGAGGAGATATTGATGAGTGCAAGGTAGTTTATTACTATCACTGTAAATGTGTATTGAAAATGTACTATGAGGGGCCTCTGGGTGGCTCAGTTGGTTAAGCATCGAACTCTTGATTTTGGCTCAGGTCATGATCTCATGGTTTGTGAGATTGAGCCCTGCATCGGGCTCTGCACTGACAGGGTAGAGTATGCTTGGGATTCTCTCTCTCCTTATCTCTCTCTGCCCCTTCCTCCCTTTCTCTCTCTCCGAATAAATATATAAACATTAAAAAAAAATGTACTCTGAACCAAGTGTTTACATCTGACTTAGCTTTGCGAATAAGCCCATGACATAGGATACTGGTTGATTTTATTAGAAACTTTCAACTTTCTGAAGTGGTCATACTATTTTATACTCCCAACCACAGTGTGTGAGAGTTCCAGTTCCTCCGCATCCTAGCTGACCCTTGATGTTATCAGTCGTTCTAATTTTAGCCTTTCTGCTAAGTGTATAACATTTAGAATCTCATGGGAACTTTCATTTGCATTTCCCTGCTAACTTATGTTGAGTGCCTTTCTTTATGTTTATTGGCCGTTCAGATATCTTTTTTCTGACAATGTCTATAGTAGACTTTTGTACGTGATCTTGCTGGTTGTTCTATTTCTTTTTATGGATTTTCAGGAGTTCTTTATGTACCATATCTTCAGGATATGAGTGAGTGTGTGTGTGTGTGTGTGTGTGTATACACGTGGCTTATCATTTCATTGTCTTTTTAAAATTTTTTTTAATGTTTATTCTTTGAGAGAGAGAGAGACAGAGACAGAGTGTGACCAAGGGAGGGGCAGAGAGAGAGAGAGGGAGACACAGAATCTGAAGCAGATTCCAGGCTCTGAGCTGTCAGCACAGAGCCCGACGTGGGGCTCAAACTCATGAGCTGTGAGATCATGACCTGAGGCAAAGTCAGATACTCAACTGACTGAGCCACCCAGGCGCCCCTCATTTCATTGTCTTAATAGTGTCTTATAAGAAGATGTTTTAAATTTTGTTGAAATCCAATGTAGTATTTTATTCCTTTTTTTACTGGCTGAATAATAAGTTCATTGTATGGACATATCACATTTTTTTATTGATTCACTAGTTGATGGACATTTGGATTGCTTATGCTTTGGGGATACAATGAATAATACTGCTATGAACAGGCTTGTGTAAGTTTTTGTGCAGATGTATGTTTTCAGCTCTCTTGGGTATATATCTAGGATTGGAGCTGCTGGGTCATATGTTGACTCTACGTTTTGCTTCTTGGGGAACTGCCAAACTAGCTGCACCACTTTAAATTCTCACCAGCAATTTCTCCATATGCTTTGCAACACATGTAATTATCCAATTATCTGTCATTTTGATTAGTAGACAGTCTAATGGGAGTTAAGTAGTATCTCATTGTGGTTTTGATTTTCATTTCCCTAATAACTAATGATGTTGAACATCTTTTAGCATGTTTCCTAGCTTTCGTATATCTTCTCTGGGGAAATGTCTATTCAAATCCTTTGCCCATATTTCAGTCAGATTATCTGTCTTTTTATTATTGAGATTTAAGAGTTGTTTTGTTGTTGTTATTGTTGTTGTTGTTGTTGTTTAGAGACAGAGTGTATGGAGGTGGGCAGAGGGAGGAAGAGGAAGAGAGAGAGAGAGAGAGAGAGAGGGAGAATCTTAAGCAGGCTCCACATTCAGTGTGGAGCCCAATGCAGGGCTCGATTCCACGACCCTGGGATCATGATCTGAGCCAAAATCAAAAGTCAGATGCTCAACCAACTGAGCCACCCAGGCACTCCAAGAATTCTTTGTATAAACTTGATACTAGTCTTTGATGAGATATCTAATTTTCAAATATTTTCTTCCATCCTGGGGGCTGTCTTTTCCTACTGATGGAAACCAAATAAGACTATCTTAGTTTGGAGTTTTTCCAGACTCTAACCCATCACAGCATCACATGTGATCATCAGAGTTTAGCCAGGGTCTCCCCATCCCAGCAACACCCCTCCCTGCTCCTCCCTGGTTCATCTGTGTGTGGGCTTGACAGATGCATCCAAGGATGAAAGCAGCCGATCTTGGCTCACCTAGAAATGGTCCCCCTGCTTTGGAATTGAGTTTATACTTCGTTTCATTCACAGCTCTTCAGTAGCTTTTTGGTTGTTTTTTTTTTTTAATGTTTATTTATTTTGAGAGAGAGAGTGAGAGCAGGGGAGGGGCAGAGAGAGAGAGAGAGAGAGGGAGAGAGAGAATTCCAAACAGGCTCCGCACTGATAGTGCAGAGCCCCACACCAGGCTCGATCTCCCCAACTGTGAGGTGAAATTTCACCTGAGCGGAAATTAAGAGTTGGACGCTTAACCCACTGAGCCACCCAGGCCGCCGCCCCTCCCGCTTCAGTAGTTTTAATAAAAAAAAATATGGAGAGCTTTTTGCTTTAAAAATATATTTCCTCCTTGTTTTAGTGGCCTTTCCCCTCTTTTCTTCTAGTCTTAATTGGAGGCAGAACGCAAGGCTAAAATAGATACTATATTATTATTTCACATATTAAAAAACCCCCAATAACATCTCCAAAGTCATTCTTATTTTGGTGGCAAATTTAACATTTAGACCTACTCTGTCTGACTGCAGATCTCTTGTACTTCAATGTTATAGTATACTGTATCCACAGAAGAAAAGGTTTCTGCATATTCAGAACCGTCTTTGGGGCTATACGCAATCTGCAAAAAATATTTCATTTTCTTAAAAAAGTAGATGTCTCATAGAATCTCATATCAGCTACATAAAACGTTGGCAAAAGATATTTGTAGATAGAGGGGTTTTCCTCAGATCCCTCTTATCTGAGTGAAGTTTCCTGTTCAGCATTTGTTGCCTGGTGCCAACTTGTACAACGATGATAGAACAGAAATAGACTCGTGAGGAACGCAGCTGTAAAAACTCAGGCTGGGGAAGGAGGAAGTTGTGGCCCCAAATCAGAACAGACTCTTGTGTCACCACTCCTGGTTAGGAAATTATACCTCTGTCACTAGCATTTTCGATATGTGTATATACTTAAGTTAATTGCCTAATAATATTTCACTCGTTCATTTGGTCATTTAACAAACACGTATTTTACGCCTGGTATGTGCCAGGCATTGCTAGGAGCTGGCTATGGGGGTAGTGAATAAAACCGTCTTGGGAATGTCTTCCTGAACCTTAGCATATATGCGCCTCATTCACAGTGAGTTTTTCCTCTTTTTATTCTTTTTTTTTTTTTAGTTAGACCTTGTACTTTCTTTATAAACCCCAAGTTGTTTTTGTGCTCTCTTCCTAGCCAGACTGTGAACTATTTGAGGGTAGGTGTCCTATAATCGTCATTTTTGTCAGCAGATTCTAGCATGTGTGCTACGACTCTTGGTAGGTTCTCAAGACATGTTTGTTGACGTGACTCAGTCTCTGTTGGTAAGATTTAGGAGAGTCACCTAAACGGGCTATGCCTGACATTTGTAGCAGGCAAACTGTGAATCTTGTTTCTTGAGAAACAGGTGCACTACGGAACAGGCATGCTTCTGGAATAGGTGGTATCCTATTATGTGAGCCACCTAGAGGCACCAGCCCTGGCGTGTCTCCACAGGATCTCGTTTACACCACAGTTTATGAAAACGCGACGCACACCCTGTTGGCTGCATTCAGAGAAGTACTCGTCTGAATGCGATCACGTCAGTACTCCTTCCTGCCCAAGCCAAATGATCTTGGCCGGCCACCCTTCCATGATTAGGCAGTGATTTTGGCCGTTGACTCTCTTTTTATTCCCTATTGCTCTTCTTAAGCTCCTGCCCTTCTTTTCATTTCACGCTTTATCACCAAATTGCCTCGGGAATAGTGAAGAATTACTTTACACAAAGAGAGGCTTGGCCTTTACCCTCA